GCCAACAGTATTTCTAGGCCACAGTAGCCTGTATTTGATACAAAAATAAACTATCTCTTAGTCCCTTTGAATTGCAGGCTGTGTTTTATATTGATATATGGTTTAAATTCTATAGGAGAAAGACCTTAAGGAGGTTAGGCTCCACTGTGCTTGACACCCCCTACTCCATTCTGTAGAAAAATTGCTCTGTAGGTTTTGGGGTTTTGTTATTGTTATTGTTTTGTTTGTACAAGACTATGTTTAGCTCTGGATGACCTCACATTCAGTACATAACTGAGAATGATCATAAACTGGGATTAGAGGCATGAACCATCACACCTGGCCTTTCCCAGTGTCTTATTATTTATTCATTTATTTAATGTATATGAACACACCACCGTTGCTCTCTTCAGATACACCAGAAGGCACCAGACATGTGGTTGCTGGGAATTGAACTCAGATCCTCTGGAAGAGCAGTCAGTGCTCTTAACCACTGAGCCATCTTTCCAGCCCCTTTCCCAGTGTCTTTAAGGAGTTTCCAGGGTATTTCCAACAGCCAAATTTAGACACCACTAGCCCACAGGCTAATATCCACATACTTGGAAAACAAAGAAATATAGGCAATCTAACTGCAGACTACCCTCCACAGCCAACATTTCCTGAAGCTTGAACATGCCTGCCTATTTCCCTGACACTGATCTGGGACTATGAACTTAGTTTATCTTGCAACCTGAGGCTTCTGTACACACTTGACCTTCTGCTCTGGAACGGCCCTCTTTTGACCTTTCTGTTCGAAATGTCTGGTCATCTTTCAATCCTCAGTCTAAATCCCTTCACAGGAAAGCCTGCTCAGTTCCCCCAGTTGTAGCTAGGTGTTTCTTCTGAGGTCCCACCGCATCGCTTTTACTACTCTGGTTTCAGGAGTCTGAGTACTTGTCTCTTTTACCACACACCTGAAAAGGACTGCGGTGAATACTCATGCATTTATTCATAACAATATTGACTAACAAACATTTACCAGTTTGTCTGACAGGTTCTTAACTTAATGTATGGCTACTGTTGGGGGACTTTTTATTACCATTTCTGAAGTTAATGGACATAAAATGAAGATGAGCTGGCTGTCAGCCTTGGCAAAGAAAAGTGGCCAGTCTTAAATAACAGCAGCCTAGGCTAGCCTCAGACTCCAGCCAGGCCTCACCTCCTGCCCTGTTGCCTCCTTTCTGAAGTGTTGGGATTACAGATGTGTCTGTTTTGAGAGGTTGTTTTAACATTTTTTTCTCTTGCCAGTGATACGTATGTATTGATGGCTGATAAACTCCTTTGTAAGTCATTACCAGTTTTAACTCCAGCCAGGTTCTTTTTCCCCATGAAGCTGTGGAATCACCACATGACAGTCGCAGTTGAACAGTGGACATGCCTTTTATTCTTGAACAGGAATAGTCTATCCTTATCTACTGTTGCTTATTCACACCAAGGCAGGTGGGCATGGTGACAGGAAGTAATCCCAGCACTTGGGAGGTGGGGGTAAGTGGAGCAGGAGTTCAAGGCTAACCTTAGCCACACATCAAATCTGTGCCTAGCCTGGGCAACAAGAGACCCTATCTCAAAACAAACAAAACAAAAACCCAAGAACAGAGCAGGAAAATCCTCTCAAACTGAATTTTTAATCAGCTGGGAGCTAGAAGCTTACAGATACAGGATAAAGGAAAGCTGAGCATGCAGCCTCCTGCAGAGACTAAGGCAGGAGTGTTAGTTTGAGGAAAGTCTGGGCTGTACATGAGATCCTGTCTCAAAAAAACCAAAAAACAAAAAAAGTAAAACCTACAAATAGCAAGTGGCCCACAGCTGTGGTCTTATTGCTCTGGAAGCAAAGACAGATGAATTGAACACCACCTCTTTTTACACAGATCTTTCTGGCCCAGCCACGGCTGTCTTCAGCTGTCCTGTTACACTGGGGGCATGTCACTTAACATGCAGACAGGACTATAATGAGTAGAAAGTTGTCTGTGGCAGTCACTTTAGTTAGATTCAACCATTTCCTGCTTGCAGACATCCTGTCCCTATCTCAATACAAACAAATAAAAAGAGATCCAGACTAGACATTCAATTAGGTCACGTATGCAGCATGGGATAGGATAGGTAAATCAGGTCTGGTGGCAAACACCTAAAAGGTGAAGCTAGAGGACTGCAACCTACCTGTTCAACTTAGTGAGATCCTGTCTCAAAAATAGAAGGGGCCAAGGATATACATTTCTAAAATAAGTGACCAGCACTCAGGAGGCAGAAGCAGGCAGATCTCTGAGTCGGAGGCCAGCTTGGTCCACAGAGTGAGTTTTAGGAGAGCCAGGGCTACACAGTCAGACCCTATCTCTAAAGCACACAACAAAAAGGAGTAGGGATATAGTCCAGTGGTAAACTATTCCCCTAACATTCATGAAACTCTGGTTTCAGTATCCAGCACCCCAAAGATGGCATGATAAACTTCAAGCAAATGAGTTTGGTGCCAATGTGAATCTGGGGAAGAATATACATTGGTTGCAAAGTGATCAGTGAAGACAGATTAAAGGAACATGTGTACCAGATGAAGAATGGATCTAGTGACTGAAAATAATATAAGTCATAGACTATTTGGGGCTTGATTCTTGGTGAGGCAAGCAAAATACATCTTTGATTTTGTTTTTCTAGGTTTTAGTGTCTGAGGTGAGGTCTCAGTAGGTAGCCCTGAAGTTCACAACATATATTAAAGGGGCTGTAACTTCATAGGGACCTTTTCTTTTTTTAAAAGATTTATATATATATATATATATATATATATATATATATATATATATATATCAGTACACTATTGCTCTCTTCAGACACACCAGAAAAGGGCATCAGATCCCATTACAGATGGTTGTGAACCACCATGTGGATGCTGGGAATTGAACTCAGGACCTCTGGAAGAGGAACTGGAAGAGCTCTTAACAACTGAGCTATCTCTCCAGCTCCACTCAGGGGGACCTTCTTGTGTCTATATCCTAAATGCTATAGTCTTTGCCACCAAACCCCATTTGGCATCAAATGGTTGAGGTGAAATGGGTCCAGGGCTATAGCTCAGTGGTACAACACCTGCCTAACACACACACATACACACACACACACGCACACATACACACACTCACATACACGGCCTGAGTCCAATCCAAAAACTGAAGACAGGAAATGGGTTTGTGGAAGAAGCTATGAGAACACTAAAGGCTCGTTATGTGAAATAATTTGGAACTCAGTATGAAGTAGAGATGTAGAGATTGTTCCATCTGTTATCTAGGGTTAGATAGCAGGTAACTAAAGCAAGATGGACAGAACTCTCCTGCAGGAGAAACAAAACAAAGAACAAATTCTGGAAACGTTAGCATTTCAGGATTGGTACAAGTGACAAATGACCAGGGGACACCAAAGATAATGTATAGACAGCATACTAGGTAGGGACTGAAGCAATATCACCATGACAGGCTTTGGAGAGGATGTACTGGCCATGCATAGGCACACACCTTAGCAGGGGTAGCTTCAGAGTAGAACTCAATGTGTTAAATGTACCAATTCCAAATTTAACATGTTAGCGCATGTAGATACGAAGCGGTATCAGCAGAGGGCGGTAGAGAGGCCCAGCAAGGGAAAGTTGTTCCCTAGTTCTAATAGATGCTTGGGGCTACTGCACCATCCAGCTGCTGTAGAATGGGTGGCTTCTTTAGCCTAGCATTCACAGGCTCCAGCTTCTACAATGGCCACTAACACACCTGCTTCGACAATCCTATAGAATGCCTTTTCTTTCTTTTTGGGGGGGTAAGGGGGGAGAGAAAGGATCTATGGGGAAAAGTAGCTCTCTGGCTGGTGTGGAACTCAATATGTAGATGAGGCTGCTCTCAAACTCCCTTAGATCTACCTGCCTGTTTCCCAAATACTAGATCAAAGACCAAGTCTGAAGAAAGTACTTGTAGTTTAAATATGGCTGCCATGCTCCCACCTTGATGATAATGGACTGAACCTCTAAACCTGTAAGCCAGTCTCACTTAAATATTGTCCTTTGTAAGAGTTGCCTTGGTCATGGTGTCTCTTCACACCAATGGAAACCCTAAGACAGAGCTGCTTCCTGTGACTAGCTTTCTCTCAGTACTTTAGAAGTCAGCCAACTTTCCCTGGAAAGGCTGCTATCATTTAGCTCTGTAACTGTATCTGTCACACAGCATAAATGAACCACTTAGCTGTGTTCCATAGCTCTGTCTGTACTTCAGAGTTTTCACATCCTCCTGGGTATTCTCCTGAATTTAAAAACACAAAAGTGTTAGTCACTTTCCCCATTGTTACACCGAAACTACCTGAGGAAAGCAACTTACAGAGGGAAGGGTCAAAGTCCAGCAGCAGGAAGGAGGCAGCTCTTCTCACTGCATCAGTAGTCAGCAGCCATGATGCTGCTCCCCTGTCCACTTTCTGTGTGTGCATATTCACAGTAACTTCTCTGTGAAGTTCTACATGAAGGGCTGTTCACATCCCATACTCACAAAAAGCTCCAGTTTGTACAAAGAGTGTAGTGTGTTTCCTAGTAGTGCAAATTGAACCCAGGACCTCTCACAGGCTAAGCACATACTACCACTGAACACCTCCCTCCCCAACCACCCCACGTTACCCCAACTCTCAAAATATGTTACTGATGGTCAGGGTCTCACTGGGTAGCCTGGAACGGTGTCTACATAGCCTAGGTTGGCTTCAGAACCACAATCATGCCTTAACCTCCCACACCACAAGACTTACCCAAGCTTTTAAGTTTGTTTCTTATTTCTTTCAGATAGGATGTTGGACAGCCAAGGCCAGTCAGTGCCTAACTACATACATAGCAAATTCCATGCAAACCCTAATCCTCTTACATCTACCTCCCAAGTACAGAAATCACAGGTTTGTACTAAGCAGTGCCAGAGCACTTACAGATCTATTATCTTATATATGCATATACTGGGAAATTTGATTCAAACAAACTTAGAGACTCAGTTTAAAAATGTTTTATTTCATTAAAAAAAAGTTTATTATGTACAAGACTTAGGTATATAGAAGGATACAGCCTTAATCACAAAAAAATGAGACTAGTCATCGTATTCTACTGTGGAATGTGTGTGATGCACTCTTCAATAATAAGCATAAACTATCTTTACTTTGCAGGCTAAGTTCTGAGTTCCACACTGGACCTGCACATATAAGACATTAGTCTAATTTTAAGATTGGTAATGCCAATGTCAAGCTGCTTGTATTTATAAGTACATATTTCACTATTCCAAATGTGTGGTGGTAACTACCAAAGCAGTAACCCTTGAAAGGTCTTCATCTTCCCCAGGTTTATACGTTTGTAATCCGAGTTCTTCTGCCACTTCCTGTCAGGTGGCTCCCCCCTCAGCTCAGCACTCAGCACGGTTAGGCATTGAGCTCTCTGTGTATCTCACCCATCTCCTTTATCTGCAACAGAGGAGGAGTATGCAAGGAAACAGGGTTTCTAGAACTCTCACTAAGTAGACCAAGCTGGCCTTGAACCCAGGGATACACTACCACCCAATGTTTTGGGTCTTAAAGTTACTTTTTCAGCTGGATGTGGTGGCTAACACCTGAAATCTCAGCACTCAGGAGGCAGAGGCAAGGAGTCTCTAAGTTTGAAGCCAGCCTGGTCTACAGAGTGAGTTCCAGGACAGGTAGGGTTATGTAAAGACGTTGGCTATATCTATCTATCTATCTATCTATCCATCCATCCATCCATCCATCCATCCATCCATCCATCCATCCATGATCTATTGATCAATCTATCTATCTATCTAGAGATATATATGAAAAAAAATTAAGGTTTTTCAAAACAGAGTTTATCATTTCTCTATGTAGCCCTTAGCCCTGGCTGGCCTTTGCCTCCCTAGTACTGGGATAAAAAGTGTGCATCCTATGCCCAACTCAAATGATTCTTATAAAATTGTGGAGACACAGGAAATCATGTTAGCAGTGGTCCAGGGTTTCTCTAACACAGCCTCACTGCAATATGCCTCCACAAGACTCCGAAAGCTAAAGCCAGAGGCTTCTGCAATTGTCAAGGAAACCGAAAGCAGGATGAAGTGGCCTGTCAGAGAACTCAGAGTTAGGTAAGAGCTCATTTCAAGACTGTCCCTAAGACTGTAGAGTCTACAGTGTGAAGGACATCAATGTAACCATGTTCTACTAGTGTCTTGAAAGGGACACTGATTCCTCAGAATAAGACACTCAGCATAGCCTTTATCCACTTACCTCAGCCTTCTCATATTTGGCTGATTTCTTCCTTGTAGATATAACCTGAAAGAAAAAACATTACTAGTACTACTCAAACAAAAGTGACAAAATTAACAAATGTGTTTTGAACAGACCTAAGCATGAATGTACAAGTTTGGGAAGTCTAAAAACTGGTCCCACAGTACCAATTATCTGAACAGCTATATCAGTACCAGAGGTACCTTCCTGGAGCAAAAGAGCTGTTAACTGAACATAGTGAGTACCCCACACATTCACATACCACCCATCCAGACAATGAATCTTAGAGTGTTCTCTAGGTTACCCTCACAGACAACATCAACACATGACCCTGAATGTGCTTCTTGATTTTAGGTTGGTTGATTGGGTCTCATTGCATATGTAGCCCTAACTAGCCTGGAACTCACTAGGGAGACCAGGCTGGTCCCGAGCTCTCCTCTGACTCCTTGAGCATGGGAGTTGAGTGTTCACACTCAGTCAAGCTTCTTTCCTGAGCTTCTACTTGGGTCTCTATGTGACAATTAGATTTCTGTCTGTTCTGTGTGTTTATTTGTCAGCTAAAGTTCATCTTTTATAAACCATCTATCTCTGCCAGGCAGTGGTGGCACACGCTTTTAATCCCAGCACTTGGGAGGCAGAGGCAGGCGGATTTCTGAGTTTGAGGCCAGCCTAGTCTACAGAGTGAGTTCCAGGACAGCCAGAGCTACACAGAGAAACCCTGTCTCGAAAAACCAAAAAAAAATAAAAAATAAAAAAAAAATAAATAAAATAAACCATCTATCTCTACTTACTAACAATCTTGTACCGAGGGAAGGGGTTGTTGCTGTTTTAAGATAGGACTCTACTATGTAGCTTAGGCTAGCCTTGAACTTTGATGTCACAATCCTCCTGCCTCAGCCACCTTGGGTATATGCCATCATGTCTAGCTTTGCTGCATTTATTTCTAGTTTGTGTGTATAAGTGGTGTGCTCATGCCTACATGTGTGTGGAGGCAGGAGAACAACTCTCTGGAACTAGTTCTCACTTGCCACCTTATGAAATCAGGATTTAAATGTCACCAGTGTAGGGAAAAGCTCAGGACCCCCAAGACCAAGTTCTCAGTACAAAGGAGATTTATTTGTCCAGAGGGACAGAGGGCAGGGTAAAGGGCAGAGGGAGAGGGGGAAGGGAACAAGGGATAAAGAAAAAAGCAGGTAAGGGAGAAGAGGACGGTATTTGTCCAGAGGCACAAGAAGACTACCTCTGGATAGAGAAGAGACAGATGTGGCTCATGGGCAAATGCTGGTTTATAAAGGTACAAGGGGAAACCCTGTGTTACAACGAGGTGTTTAATTTCAATAGGGCATGTTAATTAAATGAGCCAAAGGGGGATTTTGGTTGCTAGACTTCAATACTTTGATTACTGGACCTTGGTAGTCAGCCTCAGAAGGAGGAAGTGGACAAATAAGGGAATAGGCCTTGGGGCCAGCTTCAGGTACATAAACCAACAGTTTGTGAGGAGGCAGAGGGAACTGAGGAGGGAAAGGCCCACCAGCTTGTCACGCTCACCTGAATACTGACCACAGCTGGTTGAGGATCCCCTCAACCAGGCCTGAGCACAAGGCCTCTACCTGCCAGCTGCTGCCATTCTTTCTGTGGGTTCCTCAGCTACTTGTAAGATTTCATTGTATGTTATCCATTTTTATTTTACACATCATAAATATCTCCCTAGCTTATTTCCATTTTTTGCTTTATATGAAATTTGCCATGAAAATACAATTTTTTTTTCCTTGGGAGAAGCCTAAGGCAACTTGAAACTCTCAGTCCTCTTGCTGATCTCAGCCTCCTGAGAGCTAGGCCTGCAGGTGTGAGCCACTAAACCCAGCACTAAACGGTAAAATACTGAATTTTAGTTGGGCATAATGGCACGTGCCTAGTGTCCCTGCAGAGTGAGATGATCAGTTGAACCCAGAAATCCAACACCAGCCTGGGTAGACTCCAGAGGCAGGGGAAGACACACACGAGTGCACGCACGCACACAGGCACTCACTCGAGGTTGAAGAGATGGCTTAGTAGGAAAGTACTTGTTATACAAACACAAGGACCCGAATTCCATCCCGTGTCTCCGTAAAAAGCCACACTTGTGTGTCTACAAGCCTACTGCTGGGAAGCAGACGTGACAGACTCTCCAAAGCTTGCTGGCTGGCGCCTGCCCCCTCTCCCCCTACCCCCACCCCATCCCTGTCTTCCTCCTAGTGTTGGTCACTGACTCTCTGGAACTCTAAGCAAGTACTCCCAATAACTCTTGCTTGCTATAAGCTGACTAGGTCACAGTGATTTGTCACATCAACGGAAAAGTAAGACAGTTGTGGATGCTTAGATAGCCCAGTGGTAAAGCACTTGCCTAGCATATGGGAGAACCCTAATATCTAACCCTAGTGCCAAAAAAACAAAGCTAGACTTATGTATTAATATATTATCCCTTTATAGATGTTAAGTTTCTTGCATCACATGGTTTCTTTACTGCAGAATGTCAGCATTCCTTATGCTAACTTCCTCCTGTCATTACCTTCTTACATGAGCACAAGTGAGCTGCCCAACTCTTATGTTCTCATGCCCTGACGTGCCTGCCCCAAGCACCTGGATAACATGGACAGCCCTGACAGCGTAAAATAGGAAAATATTTGCTTTTATGGGATGGGAACCAAGTGTGGTAACAATGCTGGACTAAAAATCAAGTCACCACACACCTTCAAATTTAGCTTTATTTGGGCTTTCTGAGATAAGGTCTTGCTATGTAACTGTAGCTGGCCTTAAAGTCTGTTTTATTTTTACCCCCCTCCAAGATTTCTATTTATTTTATGTTTATGTGTACTTGGTGCCTAGTACCTCGGACCTATGAAGGTCAGAAGTTAGATCCCTTGGAACTGAGCTACAGATGGTTGGGAACTCCCTGAGGGTTCTGGGAGCTGAATACAGGACCTCCCCAAGAACAAGAAGTGCTCCTAACCACTGAGCCATCTCTCCTGGCCCTAGCCTTAAAGTCTTGATCCTCCTGCTGAGCTTCTCAGGGCTTGGAATACAGAAGTACGGCATCATACCCTGCTAGAATAGATTTCTGAATTTGACGTATCGGTGAGAGATTACCTGATATCCAATCACCCTTAAGGTCCTAGGATAAAGCAGACTTTAAATCCCTAAGACGTCTACCTTTACCTCC